GAATTTTATTCACATATTCTTTTTCCCAGTGCCTTTCTTTCCTTTCCTTTTGGTGCTTTCATTACATATTGTCAGAATGATTGATGTTACCGTGTATCAGGGAGGGTCTGTGGTGGTCTCTTCATTTTGCTTTTTGTTTCTCACTTTTCTTCAAATTAAACAATTTTTGTTGATCTACCTTCAAGTTTGCTCTTGCCTCCTGGACTCAGAATCTTTATTTACCTTTACTACCATGTATTGTTATCACCTTTATCACCATTACCATGGAATCTTTACTGCTATACTTTCTTATGCTATCTCAGATCTGTTACTGAGCCCCTCTAGTGAATTTATCAATCTAATAATTGTATTTTTAAAGATTTATTTATTCATGCATACAAAAGGTGGTTTGTAGGCCAGAGGTGCAGGGGTGGGAGTGAGAGGATTCACAAGAGACAGAAATACACTGCTGATGGGAGCAGCAGGCAAGGCAGGAGAGGTCTGCTGTACCATGGGGTCACTTCCCTGGCTGGGGATTGAACTTGTGCTGCAGTGGCTGTAGACAACTTCATAGTGCTGTGTATTTAACTCCTTGTGCCACCAGGCAGGGCCCTAATGTATTTTTTTGAAATGTAAAATTTTTGACTAGAACTTTTAAAAATTTCTACCTCTGGGCCCTCCCTGGTGGCACAGCAGGTTAAAGCACAGCACTAAGAAACTTAAGCCACTTCCGCATGAGTTCGATCCCCACCTGCCCCGTAGGTGACCACATGGCGTGGCAGACCCCTCCTGACCCGCCCGCTGCTCCCCTCAGCGGTGTGTTTGGTCGATCTGCCTGTTCTGCTCCCCACTCTGTCCCTGGTGAATCCTCTCACCCTCCGCATCTCTGGCCTGTACCCCTTTTCTGTATGAATAAATAAATAAATCTTTAAAAAAAAATTTCTACCTCTGTTGATATTTTATATTTGATGAGTCATTATTATTATACTGTCCTTTAATTCTTTAAGCATGACTTCTGTTTGTTGTCCGAGCACATTTATTATAGCTGCTTGGAAGTATTTAAATGTTATGTCCAACATTTGTGCCATCAAGGGTTTCTATTGATTGTTTTGGGATTTGGGGTTTTTTTTTGGCCCTGAATATAAGTCTCACTTTTCAGTTTCTTTACATGTCTTTTAAATTTTTTGTTGAAAATTTTAAATAATTTATTGTCTTCAGTGTACTTATATATACACATACATATTTGTATGTAGATGTTTATATAAGTATTCATATCTACATAAATGTAGATATGTATATAATCTCTGAATTCTTTTCACAATTATTTTGTAGCTCTTTGGCCTTTATTGAAATTACTGCTGGTGAAACTCCTTATTTCTCTGCTCAGTATTTATTCTTGGTGTTATTATTAAGCTTGGGTTCTCAGGGTTGCCCCAATGTTGTCACAGCCGAGTGGTCAAGTTGTAATACAACACCTCGAATCTATGAGGCTTTCCTTTTATGGAGCTATATGTGGTTGGAAAACATATTCAACCTTAGGCATTGTGCCCCAGCTTTTCCTTTTTAGGCTTTTTAAAATCTTTTCTGCTAATAATGACATGGCCTTATGACTAAATAGTGATCTACCTATAGTTGGGGAGCTCTATATGTATTCACATATAGCCTTGGAAATGTGTTCACACTTCCAGATTTCCAGGAGGTTATGGGAGCTTAGTAAGGCCCACTGTGACTAGCTTATTCCCTTGTTAAGTTTCTGGCGAGGCAGTGATCCATTACTTGTCCCAATAAGTCTTAGACTTGATATGCCATTGACCTTCTCCATTTCTTTGCTGTCTAGGTCACTGTTGTTTCCAATAATAATACTAGCTTTTGATTTTCCTGCACTTTATTCCTTGTAAGTGAGCCTCTGCTGACAGCCAAGTTGCTGGTCTTCACAGATTGCCTCATCCTGATTGGATGTCAACAGTAACAGATCTTAGTGGAGATTGGTAGAGCTCTCATCAAGATTCCCATAAACTCCCACTGTTGTTAATCAAGATTCAATAGGTTTGTTGAAATAGATGATTCTCAGTTGTTGATTTCCACAGTATTAAACTTTTTATTTTTTTAATATTTTACTTTTTTGGGGGGTGGGGGGAAGGGAATTATCAAACTCATGCTCCACTGTTCTGGAAGTCTGCTCCTATGTGTTACTTTTGTGATCTCATTATAGGATTAGAGAGGAGGGGTTGGCTGGGGGCAGAGAACAAGTTTCAAAATTTGATCTCTGAGTTTGTATCTGTCTCCATTACTGTTTAGCATGTGACCTTTGACAAATCATTTCATTGCACCAGACCCCATTTTCTTTCTTTTGTAAAATGGGGATCAAATAGTACCTGTTGTGGAGGTTTGAAAATTAGATGAATTATGCATAAAGTTCTTAGAGCAGTACTCAGACTCAGAGGCAAAATAGGAAACTGGCTCCTTGCAAGAAAATGACCAACATTTTTTTCTCACAAAGGTGACATTACATGCTTGTAAGTTTAATTCTCAATTTCTAGAAAATTCAGATGGAATAGCTGATGCCATAGAACGGCAGGAAAAGGAAGAACATTTCTTATGGTAACCTGGATTCTTGTTCTCTCTTCCACCAATTGACACCTACTGGTTTCTGGATAATGAATACATTATGCAGAACCAAGTGAAACCACTAATTTGACAGAAGCAAGTGACATTTCCATAAGATTTAATCTAAGAATGATATAAATGATGATAATAATAATAGTAATTAAGTCCAAATCATTTACACAAAGTCCTTTTTAAATCTTCTCAATTAATAATCCCAACATCTATACAGCCTAGGCAGGGAATATTATCCCCATTGTGCAAGTGAGGAAAATGAGGATTCAGCGCCTGTAGCCCCCCCCCCCCCCATCACTCTACCATTTGGACATAGGCTTTACTTTCTTCCATAGAAGGTTAGGAGCACAGGACATCTTTATTAGGCTTGCTATTCTTGGCTACAGAGACATCTAGAGGACTATAAAACAAGCAGATGAAAAGAATCCTCAACTATTAAGGTCGTTGGGAACATACTGTGACGGTGTCTGGGCTGTACCTAAGAACAGAAGCCTAAGTCCACATTCTGTCTCAGTGCTCCGGGTTTTGACCTGGACAGGGCTGGTGAGGACCAGCTGTGGAGCTTATAAAGTATAGTGTTTGTTATCTTACGCCTGGTCTATGTGAAGCTCTTCACATGCCCAGCTGCAGAGTCTTCTAAAATAGGTACCAGTCTCCACCATCCCCATTTTTCTTTCCACAGAATAGTCTATGGCTCCAAGTGAAATCCTTGTCCAAGGTCATACAGTTTTAAGTGGTGAAGGCAGGATCTCAGCTCAAGTGATTCTAACTCCAGCTCCAAATTTTATCACCCCGCCCCCTCCTCAGTGTTGGCTTTGGGTATTAACTCCAAGGTAGACCTAGAAAAATTGCCTCGACTCTAGGTTTCATTTATTTTCTATCCATCCATCCATCTTATTTCCAGTCAATTTTTATTTTGTTTTCCTCTTGTGCAGAGAGAAAAGATGCTGTAGTTGGATATATTGGTTTTATATATTCTGCTGCCTACAACTCCCTTGGAACATTTTTGGCTAAAATGTAATAAGTGAAACCACTGAATTTTTGGAGGGACATTATGGAATGTTCTTCTAGGAGGTCAGAGGAGGAAACTTACTCCCAGATTATAGTCTTGGACTAGACTTTTAATAAACATTTTTTTTTGGCATCTTAGAAACTTTTCTGTAATTCCGATGACCCATGGAATTGAAACTCGTCTACTAGATTTCTTCAGTCTCATAATACCTTTTTGCCTCTTGAGTGTTGCAATTACTTTTCTGACAGTTTTTTTCTGCAAATAGACTTTGTGATTTTCAGTGAAGGGAAGGTTCCTGAGGTGTGGTTTGGGGTAGAGTGGGAGGGGAATTAGCAGTCACAAAGGAACCAGGCGTGACCTGTGTTTATCTGAGGCTACAGCTCTTCAGCAGGGTTTTTTCAGAGCCCAAAGGACTATTTGACAAGAGGAAAATTCCATTCAATGGCTGGTGACTTGACCCTGGCTGCCCTCAGGCTTGTCTTTGAGTGAGTTTGTTTCTCCTAGATGAGACTGCTTTTCTCCCCTCTACATTCACTCTCTGCTAGCTCTCTCTTGTGTGGGTGTTTGTTCATGCAACAAGCTCATATTTATTGAGCTCTTACTGTATGCACAGAACAGTACAGGTACAGAGGAGGACTAGGACATGGATCATATACAGGCCGTCGGTCATTCATAGTCTACCACGCGCTGTGCCCATGACACACTGGCTCTGCATCCCCTTTGCCTGGTTCCAGGCCACCAGCATTCTGGTTTTGGCCTCTATGAATTTGACTACATCAGTGCCTTTAACAGTGGAAGCATACGGTCATAGTCTTTTTGTGAAGGCTGATTCTGCAGCATTCATGCATGCAGTAACATGTCCCAGAAATTCGTCCCCTTTCAAAGCTGATTCACATTCTGCTGCATGCTTGTGGACGTGTGCTGGACCCCTGTGGAGCTTTACCTTTTGGCTGCTTTGAGTGAATAATGTGACCGTGGGTGCCAGGGTCTCTGCTCTCAGTTCTCTTGGGTCTCTTGTTGCATCATCAGTGGATTTTATGTTGCATGTTTTGAGCAGCTGGCAGTTTTCCACAGCAGACACATTCTTTATTTCACTTATAGAGGTTTTCTCCTCTATAAAATGAGCACACCCCTATGGTGGTGGTGACAATTATAGTAGATGGTGTCTGTGACGGTCCCAGCAGAGTGGGTGACACACAATAGAGCTCCGTACATGCCCCCCTCTGCACTCACGGGGTGAGGTTGAGCTCTCTGGCCACAGCTGACAGCCGCGTGGGCCTGTCCCTCCTGTCCCGATGCATCTGTCGCCCACCTGCGCCTCCCAGCCTGACCTCTGCTTTGAGAGTCTTCCGCCTTCCTCTCTCTCCTCTGACTTCTCTCTTCTCCCCAGGCTGTGGAGGAGCTCCTGCAGACCCTGAATCTGGAGAAGGCTGCGGTGGCCGTGGGGCACAGTCAAGTGAGTCGAACTTTCTTAGACATTCTGACCAGTCACATCAGGGACTCCGAGAGTCGCAATTGCCCGTTACTCTGTGGGTCTCCTTTTCAGCAAACCCAAAACAGGGCTGAAGATTTTTCTGCTCTGTTACAAGGTTGTGAGGAGGAAATGTTACAATAAGGAAGAAAAAATACTGGGAAATGACATTTATTACACTCCCAAGGGCCTGAGGTCTGGAAGAGGTAACAGCCTGGACTTCGATATGCTTCTCGTTTTTCTGAGTCTCAGAAAGAACCACATAAAATCTGGGAGGAAACACTCATCTTCCCTCAGGCCTTGTAACTTTTGCTTCGCAGTCAACGAGAGCACAACTATCTGATTAGCAGCGGTAGCTTGAAGGCTTGAAGGGAAGGCGTACCAATTTAGAATTGAGAGCGCTTGTTCCAAACTGGTGTTGAGCCCAAAAGCTCTTCCCAAAATGTTTACATGTGTAAGGAAAAGCTCCCCAGAGCCTTCATATGCTCATATAGCCTGTAAATATTCAGGAGGGGAGACACAATATATAGGTCTTTTTAGGTAGTTTGGCTGTGGGGCGCCCATCCTTTTATTGCTGTGGAAGGCCTGTTAACTATCTCCGAGGACAAACGGTCCAGGGATTCTATTTTGGGAAGTGGGGAACAGAGATTGATCAAAGACCAAGTGGTGGACAGGGGAGAAAGGACACAGTTTAGAAATACAAACTGGAGAGAGAATAGGCCACAGGAGAAATGACTGCACGTGGTTCCTCAGTTGTCTGCTGACTGAGTTCTGTCACGGAATAATCCTTCGCCATCACCTCCCTTTCGCAGGCACTATGTGAGGTGCTGGAGAAGTGCTGTTGTCCCCAGAAGCTCACTGCTCTCTGTTGGCGCATCTTACAGTCCTGAGCAGCCCTTCCCTCCCCTGTCTCCTTAGAGAGCTCACAGCCGTTCCCAGCAGACAGAGCCCCGTGGCACACTAGCTCACCCCATGGCCCTCCCACTTCTGCTAAAGTGTGTGCTTAGAGCAGTTAGTCTCCTGTACTGGGAATGGGCACCGGACACTCGTAGACCACGTCAGTAAAGGAAATAAACCAGTTACTGGGTCTCCTCTCAGGGCGGCGTGCTCCATGTGTCACTCCTTTGCTTCTCTCACAATCTCCCCTGAGATAAGGAGCATGTCCCCCTCTGGAAGAAAGCCCCCTTTCACAGTCTTTCCGGGACCTAGGAGCACAGGTACAGGTCCCGAAACCTGTATTGGTTGGAATCCCAGGTTCTTTTCAATACACGGTGGCTCCATTATCAACAGAGTGATGGAGCAAACTCCTTGAAAGGGCTTTATTGCCCTAGTCAGAGGAACTGCTTTTCAGCTCCAAGAACTTCACCCCGCTTGACCAGCTGGTCTGAGTGTGACCCCTGCCTGGACCAGCAGCATCACCATCACCTGAGAGCTTGCTAGAAATGCAAAATCTCAGGTGTGACCCCAGACCTAGTGAATCAGAAACTGGAGATGGGACCCAACCCTCGAGGGGATGCCAGTGTATGTGCCAGTGTGTGAGCTGCACACACTGGTCTAGTCACTCAGCTGGATTATGAGCACAGAAGTGAGTCCCAGTGAGCCCAGCTGCTATTGCAGAACAAGGAAGAACAGAAGAGCACAGAAGAGCAGTTCTATATATACTATCTCCACAGGGCGAGGGCGAGACGCCTGCAAGCCAAGCGCTGCAGTGGGAAAACAGCCTTAATATTGAATAATACTGGGTGTTCACTAGGAGACTGCCAAGAGCAAGTCGAGGTCCATGTGTCCTTCTGGAAGCCAGGCGAGGCACTCAGTGGGTGGGAAGCAGCAGAGGGAGAAGAGAACAGCCAGGCTTCCTCCTCCTGACTGTATGACTCCGGAGTGAGTAATTTTACCTCCGTGAGCCTCACTCCCCTCATCTGTAAAATGGATGTAGGACCCCGTGCCAGCTGGCCGTGCGGCTCAGTCACTCTCCCTTTAACAGGGCTTGGCTGTCATTGCATATCGAATGCACTTGTCAGCAGGGACAAGATGCTTATCAAACCAACAGCATTTTATGCTTAAAGAGCTCAACTCCTCTAGACTGGAAAATTAGTATGAGGTGCTAATTCCTCAGAAGTGCCAGGCATGGGAGCTATTGCCCTGTCAGACTTTTAAACCTTGGCCTTCAACATTTTTAGAGGGAAAACAGCTTGCATCATGGTGGCCCCACCGATTCCTTACGGATGGGGAAGTCGGGACGTTACACTCTGTTTGGGCCTGATAAGCCGCTAGACCCATGAAAGGAGAATAATTTAGATTTTACTTTGTGATTCTGAGCCCTGGTGCCTTATCAAGGCCTGTGCCCACAGCTGTGACATTTATGAAAAAGGTGGGATTCCACACGTTCTCAGCCTTCTGGTCGGCAATGTGCTCTTAAAAGGAGGGAAAAAAAATCAAGATAAGATTCTGCAGAGGCGATGACTTATTCCCATTCTGTGTATGGTCGTTTCCAATTATCTTTTTAATGAAAGCTTCATACTTAATCAATAGTGGTTTTGGCAGCACTTGCCGCCTTTTGTAATATACGAACCAGTGCTGTCATCACTTTGATCATTGATTTCTTTTTTAAATAGCAGCTTTTGGGACTCACTAGCTTGTGAAATTAATACAGTCATTATTGAGGCAATCTGATAGGTAATGAGTCAATCGTGTCTTTATTTCAATGAGGCTAATTGTCTCAGTGGCCCTGGCAGATAGGAAGTGTTCTCTAAAGCAATGGAGGGTTGCAAAACCGAGTTAGCACCGATTGGGTGTGCTAATTTTCATTCTCCCATAGAGAAAGGGGGCCTGGTGGGGGGACTGCCATTACAGAAAATAGATTTAGGAGGATGGAGAATCGATTGACACCCTTTGCTCGACCAGGAATCAAATTGCATTTCAGCCTCAAATTTCAGGTGTCTGGGACCTAATGAATGAGAAAATGAAGCCTTGTGTTGATGGTGGAAATGGGTGCAGAGAAAGAACTAGACTTTGGGTTCAAGGTTTAGCTTTGCTGTTCATCAGCAACATGGCCTTGAGTCCAGTACATGACTTTCCTGAGTTACTGGGTTCCCCAGAGGGTCACCTTGAGTATTAGCCTAAGACATAGGAGAAAAAGCTCCGGAAATTGCAGATGCCATGCAGATGTGAGTGATATTTAGTGAGACTTATCTTCTTCTCTGGAGTCAGATGGAGGAAAGTAAATCCTACTTTTCCCACTTTTTTCCCACTTGCTAGTGCAGGATGATGGGGAAAACACCTTTTTTTTTTTTTTTTTTAATGGAGTTTTGTGGACTGCATATAGCTGGGTGATGCTTTTTTAAGATTTTATTTGTTTATTCATACAGAACTGGAGTACAAGCCAGAGGTACAGGGGCGGTGAAAGGCTTCAGCAGAGGCAGAATAGGGAGCAGAACAGGTAGATCGACGAAGCACACTGCTGAGGGGAGCAGCGGGCGGGTCAGGAGAGGTCTGCGGCTCCATGTGGGTCACCTCCAGGGCCAGGAATTAAACTTGCACTGAAGTGGCTGCGGCCGCTTGCAGTGCTGCGTCCTAACCCGTTGAGCCACCAGGGAGGGCCCTGGAAATGCCATTTTTTAAAAACAAAACAAAATTTATTTATGCATATAAGAGCTGGAATGTAGGCCAGAGGTGTGGAAGGTGGGTGAGAGGATCCACCAGAGACAGAATGGGGAGCAGAACAGGTGGATATAATGAAATCCACTGCTGAAGGGAGCAGTGGGTGAGACAGGAGAGGTCTGCTGTGCCACATGGGTCAGCTCCCTGGCCAGAGATGGAACTTGCGCTGCAGTGGCTGGCGATCACTTCATAGTGCTGAGATTTAACTCCTTACACCACCACAGAGGTCCAGAAATAACCTTTTACACTATACTTCCTCCCTCCATAAATGGGATCACAATGAGTACCACATAGACTTTCACGTGTCTATTGGTTTGCCTGTATATAAAATAGCTAGAACATATAAGGCCTCGAAAATGTTAGACTTTAATTGATAATGTCCCCATGACTTGATGTCACTAAGATACAGCTCTCCCGTGCTTGCAGAGAAACCCAACACCTCTGGGCTATAAGCTACATCTGGCAAAGAGATTCAGACGTCTGTGGGTAGAAATGAGCAGCGTCAGGGGCACAGGCCTATGGTCTGAAAAGTCACCTGCCTCCTGTGGCTGCCACCGTTAGGGTATCTTTCCTTAGATGGGGTGAGAAAATGCTGCACCAGTGTGTCTGCCAGGGGCTGAAGAGGTCCCCCTGAAGTGTCAGGCCCTCTTGGAAAATCCTTTCCCTGCAGTTGGTTCCAAGGCAGCCTGCGGGGTGCCCAGGAGACACTGATCACCGTGCAGCAGAGCTCTGCAGCACATTACTGATGAGCCAAGCATGGGAGCTGGGGCCCACACCCTGTTTCCTGCCAGATGCCTGTGCACCCCTCAGAGGCCCAGCCTGGCCCCATCCTCTCCATCACATTCTCTGCCCCTCCTGTCAAGTAGGGCTGAGGTGTTCCCAGGCACATTTTCTCTCAGATGGTCAGTGACTCTTTCTAAAGAATGCATAGCCCCAGGCCCAAGACCAAATGCACAGACCTGACCTCTCCTGGGGCAAGGCCAGGGAGCCTGCCTTTGCCACCTCCCAGGGGGATTGTGACGCAGAGAGACATTTCACAGGTGCGACTAGCAGTTGTTCTCAAACTAACGTGTGCCTGAAGCCCCTGGAATGGTGTTAAATGTCATTTCTGATTTAGCAGGTGTTGGAGGTGGGGGGGGAAGATCTTGCATTTCTATCAGACTCTCATATAGCGTTGGTGCTGCTGGTGCTTGGACCCAGGAGCCATCACGAGACAATTGGGACTCTCAGCCAAGGTGGCTGTGGAGATGTTTCAGTGGCTGCCAGAAAATGAGGGCCAATGGGCCCTCCCTGGTTAAAGCACAGCATAGCACTACTAAGGTAGCCACAGCCGCTTCAGCACAAATTCGATCCCCAGCCAGGGAGGTGACCCATACGGTGCGGCAGACCTCTCCTGTCTCCTTGCTGCTCCCCTCAGCAGTGTATTTCAGTACATCTGCCTGTTCTGCTCCCTCCCCACTCTGTCTCTGGTGAATCCACTCATCGCCCCTGCTCCTCTGTCCTGTACCCCAGTGCTGTATGAATTAATAAATCAAAAAAAAAATCTTAAAAGAAAAAATAGAACGAAGGCCTGAGAGGCCGTTGCTCCTCTCATAGACAGCGACCCAGCAGCGAAGTCACCTGTGGTTTTCTCTCCGGGCAGGTCTTCCTCAAAGCGGGAGTGGTCTCCAGACTGGAGAAGCAGCGAGAGAAGCTGGTGTCTCACAGCATCGTTTTCTTCCAGGCAGCCTGCAAGGGCTTTCTGTCTCGCCAGGAATTCAAGAAGCGGAAGGTATAGAGGTCTGTGTGCCTGGAGAAGCGGGAGAGGCAGGAGGACCTGGCACGAGGGGCCATCGTCCCACACGCGTCACGCACATGTGTGCCAGTTCCCAGGGCGACCCTGCTACTGCACAGAGTCCATGCAGTGACGCGGGACCCTCCCAGAAGGGTGCAAGTGCAGCCACTTCACAGGCCCACCCTGAGCAGTGGGATTTTGAGCAGCACTGTGGGAGACATCGTGACTGTGTTCTGGAATTGGACATACATCACCCACAGTGCCCACTGAACTAGATATCCACAGGGTTGGCCAAGCCCTCTGGGTTGGTTCATGGTTTTAGCCTAGTTCCCTGGAGAACTTGACTTTCAGGTGTCACCAAACAGCACATGGGCGGGACTCAGTTCTGAGAGCTTGGGACCAAAGGGCAAGTTCAGAGCTCACAGTGATGAACCATCTGGGCCACCCTCTCAGAAATCTCAGAGGCTGAATGTCCTTGAGTCTGCAGTGTTGAGAGGGCAACGGGGCTCTGGAGACCATGTTCAGATCCCATCCTCCCGCTTAGTAGCTGGCAAGATGAGCTAATGCACACATAGTCCAGTACATGGCACATAGTAACAGCTCAATAAACAGTAAATGCTATGGGGTTAATACTGTTTTTAAGTCTTACTACTAGCATGGAGTGATATCCCATGTGCCTCCAGGACATGTAAATTTGTGCATTCAAATATATGTACTTGGCAAAGTTAGGACATCGCAAGCATGTGAATCATCTAGTACTTTCGCTGGCCCACTGCACTCAAGCACTGAGGCCCGGGATGATTTGCAAAAGAGGTTAAGAGCCTGAGCACTGTCTGCTGCCAGACTCAGGGTTTTATTCCCAACTCTGTCACAAGCTATGTGACATGAGGCATGCGACTTTACTCTCTGTCTCCTGGGTTCCCCTGAGTAAAGTGGATGTGCTGATAACACCTGCTTCACAGGGCTGGTTTGAGCCAAAGTGCATAGGTGACTCAGCAGTGCCTGGCCTGTAGGAAGTGCCACACCAGCAAGCGTGCTGGCCATTCCGATGGGGGAGAGGGGGCAGGGTCTGCCGGCTTGTTAGTCAGCATCATTCCACCTAAGATAAGGTATGTGAATGGGGACTGTGGTTCTTAAAGTGTGGTCCCCGGATCAGCGACACCCTTATAACCTGGGGATTCATTAGCAGTGAGCATTCTGGGCCCCACTTCTGGCTCACTGACTAAGCGCCTCCGTGGTGGAGCCTACCATCTGTGTTTGAACAAGCTCTCCAGAAGATTCTGAGGCTCACTCAAGTTTGAGAAGCATGGAATTTAAATACACTCGAAGTGATATCTATCTCCTAAATACCGACTAACAAAGTAATCAAAGCCAGCATCTCTTGTTAGCAGTTTCAGGGATTTGTGACAGGTGGTTTTTGTCTTGCCAGTGACCCTCTTGTGCCATGTTTTTCATTCCTCCCTCTATTGACATTTTTACGCCATGCATGATCACCTCATTGTGCCTGATGCCTGGCGCCAAGCGCCTGACTACATGGAGGACAGCTCTTGGGTTCAGATTACCTAATCCCTTCCCCTGGGACAGAAACCCATTTCCTCCATCCCCTTTGCCACCTTCTGCCTCTTCCTTCACCTCCCCCAGTTTTGGGTAGATTCCCTCAGGTCTTATTCTCCCTCCCTGCAGATTCACCGACTGGCCACCCAGTGCATCCAGAAGAACATGGCTGTGTTCCTGGCGGTCAAAGACTGGCCCTGGTGGCAGCTCCTTGGTTCCCTCCGGCCTCTGCTGAGTGCCAGCGTCGGGGATGAGCAGCTCCGTGCCAAGGAGGTTGGTCTAGCTGGCAGCCAGGGTAGCCTCGCCACCTTTTTGCATCCATACCCAGTGTCTCTACCCTGGGAAATTCTTGGTCTAGGAGTGTCTCACACACACCCCCCCCCCCAGCACAGCCCTGTGCCCCTTCCAGATGCCACTCCTCTGTCCCCATCAGCTGAGACCTGTCTTCATCCTGCGCCCAGCACCTTTGTGGATGTGTGGGTGCTGGTTAAGTTGTGAATCATTGGATCCTTTCTCTCCCTACCTCTCAGAGGTCACACTCCTATGTTCCCTCCTACTGCTGACACCTGCTGTACACAGATTAGCGCCCCCCCACCCCCACAACAACCCCGTTTTGATTGGCTTCTGGTCTATCTTGCCTGTTGAAAAAAATTGGCGTATATACACACAGTTCCTCTCTTACACAAAAGGTTGTGGACTAGATGGCATCTTCTGTGACTTGCATTTTTCACTTAAAATTGTATTTGGGATGGGCATTGAAATGGATCCATTGAAATGGTATTGTAAGATAGTGTTGAGCTGCTGGTATTAAGTGCTGCTCCTCCAGGAGAATGGAGAAAAAGCCCACTGTCAGCTTCAGCAAGAAGCCCTGTCCCACTGATTCACGTTCATCCCTGGGTGGGGTGGCCAGATCTGCGTGAGCAGAGGTGCTGGTATTCAGAAAAGGTGAAGGGCCAGTCCCTTGTAGGAATTTAGCATCTGGGCATCACCCCGGGTGGGCAGGCTCAATCACTCCTTGCCCGACCCCTTTTCATACATGTGGCATCTAGACCGCTGGTCCTCAGTGGCTTCTGGTAAGGTCTTTGTTTTTGTAGGAGGAACTTACAGCGTTGAGAAAGAAGCTAGAAAAATCAGAGAAGTCACGGAATGAACTCCGACAGAACACGGACCTGCTAGAGAGCAAGGTATCTCCAGCCCCTTGGGGGGGCTCCCTGTGTGGGTGGTGTCTGCATCTGGGGGGATGACACTGCCTGGTACTGAGCTTCAGAGACCCTTATAAGAACCCTGGGAGCTGCATCCATATTGCCCCTACTTTGCAAAGGAAGAAACAGAGGCTCTCGGGGATCAGACGTCTTCCCAAGGCCACATAACCAGCTTGTTTAGAACTGAGATCAAACCCTTGTTTTCTGGCTCCAAAGGGAACACTTTCAGTAAGTCACAAATCATGAGAAAAAAATAATGGACAACATTAAAGTAATCAACTCTGTTTACCATGGTATAAAGTGACACACTTGCAGATAAAATTTGAAACACATTTAACTGGCCCAACATATTCAGGACATGTCCAGAAGTTCCTTAAATCAGTTGAAAGAAGGCAAGCACTCTAATAAAGAGCGAAAAATGGGATCGGTCATAGGTAAAGGGAACTCTGCTCTAAGAGCTCAAAGGTGCAGGAATTCCAGCTGACCAACAGGCATGTGGGAGTCTGCTCACCCTACGTACGTAGCGTAATGTGAATCAGCCCCACGCTACATTCCATTTTACACTTGTGATCAGCAAAATCAAAACGTCTTTTGTAGCCAAGAGCTGGCCAGGATGTACAGCGCGGGGACATACGTGTGCCGGCGTGCTCCAGAGGCTCTCACACAAGGAGGCTGCGGGCCCACGCCCTGCGCTCACTGCTCGCGGGTCCTCCCGAGTCTTTCTGGGAAGACGCCCCACTTGCGATAGTGCTTGGCACGTTGAAGAAATGTAATCACTCAAGGGGGGCTCTTGATGAACACACTCTATTGTATTAAAGATTGAGTTATCGAAAGTGAAAATGAACCAGAAATGGGCCAGCTGTGGTCCTCGGACCCAATGCAGGTGCCAGCCTGTTTTCTTATAAAGTTTTCTTGTTAGGTGTTGTTGCTCGTAACCATGCCCATTCCTTTCTTTGTAGTTCTCTCGCTTGCATGCTGTGATGGCAGCGTTGAGTAGCTACCCCATAGGTGTATGATGACCCATAAAGATTCAAGTTATATATGATCTGGTTCTTCGCAGTCCAAGTTTCCTAGAGATGCATGCATGCATGTGGGTTGCCCTGGAAAATGTAATGCCGGAGGGTAGTGATGGCGTTGCAAAAGAAAACCTCAAATATGACATCTTCCCTTCTTTTTTATTTTTTAAGGATTTATTTATAAATACAAAAGCTGGGGTACAGGCTAGAGGTTTGGGGGGTGGAGGGTGAGAGGATTCACCAGATACAAAGTGGGGAGCATAATAGACAGATTAACTGAAATGCATTGCTGAGGGGAGCTGCGGATAGGTCAGGAGAGGTCTGCTGTGCTATGTGGGTCAGCTCCTTCACTGGGGATCGAACTCATGCTGCAGTGGCTGCAGGAAGCTTCATAGTGTTGTGCTGTAACCCCTTGCATCAGTGGAAGGCCCCACCTTCCCTCTTTGAATGTGCAGAGCGATGCTGTGTATCGGTAGGGGCATATACGTACCTGGCTTCAGTGTGAAGATATTCATGGGATAACACCAACTTCGGGGTAGTTCTTACCTCCTTGGGCACAGAAAGGGACCCAGGATAGGCAAGCATGATTGCAGAGGTGGGTGTGATGGCCTTGCTGATGTTGTCTCTCCTTCATTGTGCATTGAGTCCATGGGCTGTGCAGAGACATGAAGCAGACAGTCCTGCCCCCAAGGCGACTACTACAAAGACAGATTTGCAAACACTTTCAGTCCATAGCCAGTGTGCTGTTGAAGACCAAGGAGAGCAACTCCATATAACTGGCCCATGGTAAGGAGGCAGAGGCACTTGGCAGGGGTCAGGACTGAATGGGGCGTTATCAGTGTGCAAACTTAGACATACCCAGGGACCCGAACTTGCATGCTTCAGAGCAGGTCTGGCCACCCGTGCATACAAGGACAAAGCATACTGAGTCAGACAGAACTTTAATAGGGTTAGTATGCTTGGAGAGCTGGGAGAAAGAAGGATAATAGTATCCCTATATATCACCCATCCCCTGGGGTGACTACCTCACTAGCCAGGATCAGCCCAAAGTGGGCACTGAAACCTGAAATCCTGTCGCCAGTCTGAGCTACCCTCTGGGGGAGTAACAGGGAGGGGGTGAAAGGGGCCAGGCACATCTGGGACAAAAGGAGAAAAAGCAAGATTCAGACCAAACAGCAGCTTCCCTTGTCAGCCTACCCTCCCCGGCCCCTGCGGGTCTCTTCCAGGTGTCTCTTTGTGTGTCCCCCAATCTCTGGTGCAAGTCCAAAGCCTAAAAGCAGGCTCACCCCTCTCCGCGATCCCCCTGTGTGCCCCAGAGCCCACCGGTGTCATGTAGCTTCACCTGGCTGCTCAGCTCCACCTGCTCCCTAGTTCCCAGCGGCTCTTGCAAGGCTCCTGCATGAAGATGGGGGCGGGGAACACGGACCCCATCTTTGGTGGAGATGTCTCTCTTACAGCGCCAACAGCATTCGGTGTCAATAAAATAGACACTATTTTCATAGGTTTCAAAATGTAAATTCATGCCAAAAATTTATAATGAGCAAAATATAAAAATTTTAAATAAATTTAAAATTCATGGACCAGAACTAGGGCAAGGCAAATGAGGCATGGCCAGATCCTGTTTGTATTTAAAAATGTGTTATTTTATTCATCATGGACTTTTGGCATTTTTAGAGATGACATGCAAATTTTATTTACCTTTATGTCTGAGTTTTGGGGTGCCCCCTTAAATTTCCCACCCTCAGGGAGTGTTTTGCTCACCTCATCCTTAGTTTTAACTGAAGTCTTTTCCATGAAGTCCTGGGTACCTTCCAGGGTTCTGCTGATGCTAAATTTAGTCACCCGTCAACAAATATGTGTGAGACCTCCCAAGTGTCAGGCATCCGACATGGCAGTTCAGATGTAGCCAGAGAGACGGCAAGTCCCTGACAGACCACATCGCCATTTTGGCCTGAGTGGTCAAGGAAGGCTTCCCCTGGGGTGAGATATTTTAGAGCTGAGTTATTTGATGGAGTCATCTACATGAAGAGCTGGGAGAAGAGCAGCAATGGCAAGTGCAAAGGTCCTGGGGCACATGGGATAATTATTTGTCAGTCCAGAGTTTTCTACACCAGAGAGGCTATGGTTTATTGTTACTAATGACATCTCTTGGGTTGGTTGATGGATAATGTGACTTTAATTAGATTCATGAACAAACCAGCAGAACACATCCTTCTTCCTGTGTGACAGCCTGAGGAGCCTACTGGCTCACCTGGGTGTGTAGCAGGAGGTTTGGAGGGAGGGCTGCCTCGCCGACACCTCTTCTCCCAGCCACCCACTGATTGTGTCCATGCTGCCCTGCTTACTCCATGCCCACCCCCAAGGACAAGGAAGGGCTAGGGGCACCTGGAAGGAACAGTCACCTGCGTGCAGAGGTAGGAGAAGCTAGTGGGGATGCTGCTCTGTGTGCCTGGGCTCTGCTTCTGGAAGACTCTAAGGAGCTGAGGAAATGCACACACACTTGCCTCACGCTGTCATGGAGGCTCTGCAGAGCAAGCAGCCTGCCCTCTTTTACTGGAAGGGGCAATGAGTAGAGAAGCAGAAGTGAAAAGTTGGAGAGCTGTGGGTTGGCTGGGAATGTAGGTGACTTCCCTGTAGGAATTCCTTCCCACTGGGCTGACATTTGATGTAGTAATTCATCACAAATTGTCTGGCCAAACTTGAGGGTTTGCGATAGATTCGCTGCAGTGGGAAACTTGGAAAGTGGGAAGAGGTGATCATGTGTAGCATATGGGATGTCAGGAGAAGGAAGGAAGGGAACCAGGCTTCTCAGGCCTGAACCAAACAAATAAGGATTGGCACCTACAGAGCATTCTGGTCATGTTCTTTGTGTCTTCGGTGACACGTGGTTACAAGAAATGTTTGGGGCCTTGAAAACGATATTATAAAAAACCGAAGCTAAGAAAATAAACTCATAAGGAAATAACAGAGTACACAAAATTAAGGAAAGTGTTAGGAAATAGAAATTTACCATTGGCCTCAGACCCAGGTTTGCATGCTAGTTACATGCACTGGCCCCTCGGCCTGGAACACTTAAACCCTCTTCACCTGGTCATCCTTTTGCACTCAGTTCAGGTGGTCCTTCCTCCAGGGTGCCTTCCTTGATGCTCTGAAGGTGGATTTAGCCCCCACGATGTCCCGACAAATGGCCACGCTTACGTAGCTCAGCGAGGTGCCTGGCTCTGGATCTTCACCTTCTTTACCAGGCCATGACTGCAGCCAGACCAGGAACACTTTCAATGCTCAGCCATTTTCGAAGCCTCTGAGCTGAACTTTCCTCTCTGAGGCTGGCTGCGGGAGGCCTCCACCTTCAGAACCCCACAACAGCCTTCCGGCCCATCAGTGCGGTGGGGCTCAAATCCACTGACTGAAAATGCCTCAGATCTGAAAACACTGAATTCCAAAGAATGCATGAATCCGCACCCCCTCTGCCGCCCCAATCTTACTTTCCTCCCAAAGGCAGTACTTCTTAGCATTCCCCTGGGGCTGTCTGTCCTCACCCTCCACTTGCCAGTGTCTGGCTTTAGCCACCAGCTACAGCTGCTGTCTGTCTGGTACTGTCTGTAGGGCCAGGTGTGAGTTTAACCTGCAGCTTGTCACGGGTTTCTGGCTACCTGGTTATCCTCTTTGGTAAAGTGATCTTTTGTATTGCTTTTTTTGTGTGTAGAAGAACTGGGATGCAGGCCAGAGATGCCGGGGGTGGGGTGAGAGGATTCACCAGAGACAGTGTGGAGAGTGAAGCAGGCAGATTGAACTACCCTACTGAGGTGATCAGTGGGGAGTCAGGAGAGGTCTGCTGCGCCATTTGGGTCCCTCGCTGACCGGGGATGGAACTTAGGCCGCAGGGGTGACAGTGCTGAGACTGAACACCAAGGCCACTAGGGAGGCCCCTTTCTATTGCTTTTCTTGTTGATTTGTAATAAATTT